AATAAGTTGAACAATATGGGACCCAGCACAGATCCTTGAGAAACATTGTATCCCGGTTTCCGTCAACCACTGGGGTATATTTTGTGTTAAACTGGGAGTTTTATCATGTGTGTCAAACCTGTTTCCCTCCTGAGTGTATACTGAGGAGAAAAAATCGTTCAGCGCCTCGGCCCGCTCCGTGTCGTTTGCGACTAGCTTCCCGCTTTCGTCCTTCATTGGGCCTATCTGCTCCTTTCTCACCTTTTTACTGTTAATATATTGGTAGAATTTTTGTTTTCATTTGAATATTTTCCAATCCTGTCTGTGATATATTAAACTCTCAGCCTCACCCTGCAGAGATCTTTCAGCTTGTGGGACAACAGTCTAAGTGCCAGCAAACAGAGCGTGATGGGGCAAGTTAGCTCTACAGTTAACCCTCTAAACACACAAATGGTATTGTTGCTGTATTGGTGCTTCATACGAGGGGAGGCCAATAAGTTCTTACCCTCACCATGATCTAGAGGTGCTAGGGATCTGAAATTTTGCAGGTTTATAGGTGGATATCTTAGTAATATGCATGTCAATTACTGTTTTTGTAGGTCGTGTTGAATTATAGTTAGGGCCAAGAGAAATGGAGTAGGTGTCATGCCGGACAAAGATGAATATCGAGCCGTGATTAGGTTCCTCCATCTTCAAGGAAAATCTGCCCAAATAATCCAAGAAGAGATGTCCGCTGTGTATGGAGAGGATTGTCCTTGGGCTATAAATCCACCTTACTCACCTGACCTGGCATCTTCAGGGGCAAAGATTCATAGCCTATGGACAATCCTCTCCATGCACAGCTGTCATCTCTTCATGGATTATTTGGGCAGATTTCCCTTGAAGATGGAGGAACCTAATCATGACTCAATATTCAACTTTGTCCGGCATGCAACCTACTCCATTTCTCTTGGCTCTAACTATAATTCACAAGGACCTACAAAAACAAAAATTGGCATGCATATTACTAAGATATCCACCTATAAACCTGCAAAATGTCAGATTCCCTAGCACCTCTAGATCATGGTGAGGGTAAGAACGTATTGGCCTCCCCTCGTATAAATATAATATATATTGTGCACCAGCTTATCTCTAAGAGCTGCTTCCACCGAGGTTACAGTCATTTAGTGCAGGGTTACCTACTTACTGTAACTCATGCACTAATGCTCTAAGCAGAACTACCCTGCCACCACAATGTGACGTATTACACTCTCAGCTTCAACCTGCGCAGAGATTTTACAGCTTGTGGGACAACAGTCTAAGCACCAGCACGCTCAGAGTGATCATCATGGGGGAAGGTGAATTCTGCAGGGACAGGTTGACTCTTACATACACAAACAGTAACACCACGAGGGGAATTGATCAAAACTGGAGCAGGCAGAATCTGAAGCAGTTGGCCAGGCCAGCCAATCAGCCTCTATCTTTCATTTTTAAAGCTTAACTGAACAAACTGAAAAGCTGATTTTCTGGAGAAGCTCCAGATTCTGTCTGCTCCACTTTTGATACATTTCCTCCCCACGTGTTTTAGCAGAAACGTGCACCTTTCACAACATCTGCTTTTGCAGTTCTAACCTTTAACAAGAAACATCTACATCTCTCACTGCCATGTCCACACAGGAATGTAACAGAGTTCGCAATATGGTAATGTTCTGCAAAAAGCAAATAAAGTCTTTAAAGTGACGCTAAACTCAGTAGTTAAACCTTAAGAAATACATTCAAGTACCTTAACTATTAACAAAAATGTATCTTATTTGTGTAGCACTCGGCTGTAGATCCTCAAATCATCTCTGAATTGGAGCTGACACGGTCCTTCCTTCTGGAGGGTGGCTACTTTTGTTCACCATGGTCCCTGTGTGTGTTGTACAGTAGCCACGGCTCCAAGCTCACTCCCGTGATGGACTACAATCTAACGTTTAGTATACTGATTTGTATTGCGATTGTAGTCCATCAGGAGAGCAATCTTGGAGCGGTGGCTATTGTACAACACAAAAACAGTTGTTAGGGAGTTGGTAAGGGGTGGCACAAGGTTGATTCTTAAAGTTACTCACATGTACTGTTGCTTGTAGGTTTTGCTGATGTCAGGAGATCTGATTTTCTGCATGAGGATTCTGATCACATTGAGGAATATGATGAAATTGATCTGCAGTACAAGAGATGAAATGGAACATGTTGGATCTAGATAAGGCAATTTACCTTACGTCACTGGTTACCAGGAGATGCGTGGGACGCCGGCCAGAGCATCCCAAGTTGCTAATAGTCAGGTGGGGAGAAGTGTAAGGGCCATAGAAACCACCCCGCCCGGCTCTTAGCAACCTGGGATGCTCTGGCTGGCATGCCGCCTAACTCCTGGCAACCAGTGATGTCACTGTTCGCCAAGAGATGGGTAGGGCGCCGTCAAGAGCATCCCAGGTTGCTAAGAGCTGGGCGGGGAGATGTGTAAGGGCCATAGAAATCTCTTGTGCCCAGTGCCCTGGGATGCTCTGGCCAGCGTTCTGCCTGCATACACATCTCCCCGCCTGACTCTTAACAACCTAGGATATTCAGGCCAGCGTTCCGCCCACATACACATCTCCCTGCCCCCTGTGAACTTTCACTGACCAACGGAGCCTTACCCCTGCCTTCAAGTGGCACCCTGTGCACGTGACGTCACTGGGTACACCACTGGCTGTAATACTGGCATCTATGTACACATCCTGTCAAAATAATATAAATCAAATAGTATCAAAATGTATAATTACAAATATGGCAATCAGAATGGGAGCCTTGATTATCCACCAGTAACTGTTTTCATAATCATCCCAGCATCTGCATGAGAAAAGGTAAAAAAAAAAGAACGGTGTTTGAGAAAGTGAATTCATGTTTTTTAATATTTTTGATAGAGTAGGGAAGGGTTAAAATCCCAGGAAGTGTCTTTTTGACTGTCTGTGTCCCATTAGGAAATTTTATCTTTACTTCCTGACCTGGAGACACAACAGGAAGAGAGAGGAAATCTCTACAAAGTTAGGGGACTTCACATCTAAGACCTATGTCAAGGGTGTGACAGGTGTCCCCTATGGGAAGATTTCCATCACCTGTTGTACTGGTGACAAAAAAGTTTTGAATTACTCATAATTTTCTGTCTCTGTGAAAGGGAAACACCAGGACAAATCTTCTCAGCAGGAACATAGACAGAGTTAAAACGTGACTGGGGTTCTAATCTAACCCCGCTCTATCCAAAACTGTAAAGGTTTGAGTTAAGGTTTTATTCTGCTTATATTCTGCCTTCCATGGTTCCTTCCCCCACCTCGTCAACATGCCAACTAAATGTTTAAATTGTTCTCACTACAGATCTTATTTTAGGCCCAGGTCTATGTGCCGCTGGTGGGAGGGGCTGACATAGCTTCTTGAAAACATCACAGCACCCTGCCCCAGTACTCCTCTTAAGAGACCTCAGCCCTGATGCAAGTACCGGGAGGAGTGGGAGGAGTTATGCACATCTCAATATGTCTTGATAGGCGGATGTCAGTCCAGAGCAGTGAGTGTTTCTAGGCAGGCTGATTCTGAGCCTTTGTGATTGAAAGAACTGAAATTTGATGGAGGAAAAAAGATGGGCCAGGGACAGTCAATCTGGAGAGGAAAGAGCTAGACGATGCTGGACGTCCAGCCAGGAAATGAGGCGGGCTCTATCTGACTTACTGCAGCTTCTAATGTACATTGTGAGAAGCTCACAATGGGCAGTGAAATTGGAAGGAGCAATTTCGGTCCAGGAGAGGAGCCGGTACAACTGTACAAGACTGAAGGGAAGTGAAGCAGTTCTGGAACCTGTATGAAAATTTGGTGCATGCAATATTGTTATAACACAATAGACAGACAGTCACCTACCCCGTATCATCAAAGCTGATTCTGGTTTTGATCCACACTGCGATTGTAAGAGCTGGGAGACCTACGGGAAAAAACACATACCTTTGAAACATACATAACACTCAGAAAAAATTTGCAGAGCTATTCATCCACAGAAACTGTATGGACATTCGTTCTGTGTGAATGGGGAAAAAATATAAAATGTTCTTAGGCTATTTTCTCTCCAGGTCGAATGTTATTTCTTTAGGAAATTAGGGAAATACCACGTTATGGCCATTAGATGGAGCTGAGGAGCAGAGGAAATACATACTTATTGCTTATGATCCTCAGCGCCATCTAGTGGACATCATGTGTTTTTTTCCGGATTCGCATAATTCTTGCTAAAAGAATAACATTCAACATGAAGATAAAATTCTGATTTCCTATGATCTTCATCTCCATCGTGCGGTATTTCCTGAGCCACTTTGTAAATAAATCACACTTGACCTGGAGAAAATACCTTTTACCTATGATCTTCAACTCCTCTCTTCCATCCAGCTGCCATCATGTGGTATTTTCCTGATTAACTCTATTCTTTGTAGATTACATTTGACTTGGAGAAAAAATACCTTTATTTACAAAGGAAAGAGTGACTCAGGAAAATACTGCATGGTGGCCACTGGGTGGAACGGAGGATCATAGGAAAGAAGTTTTTACTCTCCAGGTTAAATGTGATTTTTCCTATGATCCTTAGCGCCATCTAGTGGCCACCATGTGGTATTTTCCTGATTTAATCTATCCTTTGTAAATGAGTCACATTCAACCTGGAGAGGAAATACTTATTTCCTATGATCCTCAGCTCCATCTAGTGGCCATATTGTGGTATGTCCCCTGAGCTCTGTTCCTAATATCCCGTTTTAGGGTGGCTCCTTTCCCATGCAAGGTCCTATGGAGCCACCGTTGTGTGTCCTAATAAGCCATGTGTACCTCCATAAACACATAGGCACAGCAGGGCAATCCAATCCTTTGCGCCATTCTCCAAGCTCGTAGATAGACATCTGCTGGAAACTGCTCTGTCCCTTGTAATCTTGAACTGGACAGGAAGTTCAAGGAAGCTAAGCTGAGAGAGAGTTGGAGCTTGCCAGGAACATGATGACCAGGAAACATGTAAACAAATAATACGCTGGGCAATGTATATTTGTTTTGGATCTGGATTCAATATTATAAAAAAAATTCTGAGAGTTTAATACTACTTTAAATGCCCTCCATGTAAATTTTCACCTGAGAAGAGAAAGCCTTTATAGCGTATAAAAGAAGAAAATTTGGGGGAAAAAGTTGGACTAACACAAACAGACTGTAGACCGGGATGCAAGTATTCCAATCAATTTTCTCCAGGATTCCAAAGGATGAGGCAACTTTTCTACTGCTGCCATGTCATTCTGACAGGCAGAACAAGAGTTGTTCAACAGGTATCCCTACTTTAAATAACAAATGTAATTTCAGTCTCTAATGAGAAGAACAAATTCTATGCTGCATGAGGAATAAAGTTCTGAACTTTCAGGTCTTCCATCTTTGCATATTTCCCCTGTGTTTCCAATTTTGTAAACACACTCAGCTGTTGTCGGATTACCATGGGCCACCACAGTTGCCAGCATTTTAAATTAATTTCCGGAGACGTAAAACTGATAAAGCAATTTAACAGAAGTTTGTTACCCAAGATAATGCATCGGTAAACCTTGGAGTTCTAAAATCCTGTCACATATTTACTAAACTTGATATGTAAATGTTATTATTCTTTGCATTTAAAGGTGCTGCACGCACAAGTGACAAGAGGGAGCACTTGCCATTTGTTCTTGATGTTCTTCTTGTGCTCCTTGGAGTTTGATGTAGATGATTTATGTTGAGGCAAATGCATCAACAAAGTCAATAGTTTAGTAAAACTTTTGAACAGCAAAAAAATAAAGCAACTGCTGACTGCAGTAACTCTAGAAACTGATGCTTCAGTCATTGTTCACGTGACTTGTTCACCCCAGTAGACCATTTCAGGGGAATGAACTTCAAAAAGCCAAGAGATGCTGCACACCTGTAAACTGCAGAACTAGACCACCAATGTCATGGTCTCCCATAACTGTTACTTTCAAGGCATGTCAACTCTCAAGAATGCCAGTAGAGATGAGGCTGGGCTTGGCACGAACCCCATTTGTTTACTTTCAAGGCATGCCAACTGTCAAGGTTGCCAGTAGAGATGAGGCTGGGATTGTCACGAATTCAGTTTGTTTATTTTTAAGGCATTCCAACTGTCAAGGTTGCCAGTAGAGATGAGGCTGGGCTTTGGCGCAACCCAGTTTGTTTACTTTCAAGGGATGCCAACTGTCAAGGTTGCCAGTAGAGATGAGGCTGGGCTTGGCACGAACCCAGTTTGTTTACTTTCAAAGGCATGCCAACTGTCAAGGTTGCCAGTAGAGATGAGCCTGGGCTTGGCGCGAACCCAGTTTGTTTACTTTCAAGGGATGCCAACTGTCAAGGTTGCCAGTAGAGATGAGGCTGGGCTTGGCACAAAGCCAGTTTGTTTACTTTCAAGGCATGCCAACGGTCAAGGTTGCCAGTAGAGATGAGGCTGGGCTTGGCACAAAGCCAGTTTGTTTACTTTCAAGGCATGCCAACGGTCAAGGTTGCCAGTAGAGATGAGGCTGGGCTTGGCACAAAGCCAGTTTGTTTACTTTCAAGGCATGTCAACTGTCAAGGTTGCCATTAGAGATGAGGCTGGACTTGGCACAAACCTAGTTTGTTTACTTTCAAGGGATGCCAACCGTCAAAGTTGCCAGTAGAGATGAGGCTGGACTTGGCACAAACCCAGTTTGTTTACTTTCAAGGGATGCCAACTTTCAAGGTTGCCAGTAGAGATGAGGCTTGGCTCGGCACAAACTCAGTTTGTTTACTTTCAAGGCATGCCAAATGTCAAGGTTGCCAGTAGAGATGAGCCTGTGCGTTGCACGAACCCAGTTTGTTTACTTTCAAGGGATGCCAACTGTCAAAGATGCCAGTAGAGATGAGGCTGGGCTTGGCACGATCCCAGTTTGTTTACTTTCAAGGCATGCTAACTGTCAAGGTTGCCAGTAGAGATGAGCCTGAGCTTGACGCGAACCCAGTTGGTTTACTTTCAAGGCATGTCAACTGTCAAGGCTGCCAGTAGAGATGAGGCTGGGCTTGACACGAACCCAGTTTGTTTACTTTCAAGGCATGTCAACTGTCAAGGCTGCCAGTAGAGATGAGGCTGGGCTTGACACGAACCCAGTTTGTTTACTTTCAAGGGATGCCAACTGTCAAGGTTGCCAGTAGAGATGAGGCTGGGCTTGGCACGAACCCAGTTTGTTTACTTTCAAGGCATTCCAACTGTCAAAGTTGCCAATAGAGAGGAGGCCAGTAGAGATGAGCCTTGGCTTGACATGAACCCAGTTTGTTTACTTTCAAGGGATGCCAACTGTCAAGGTTGCCAGTAGAGATAAGGCTGGGCTTGGCGCGATCCCAGTTTGTTTACTTTCAAGGCATGCCAACTGTCACGGTTGCCAGTAGAGAAGAGCCTGGGCTTGGCGCGAACCCAGTTTGTTTACTTTCAAGGGATGCCAACTGTCAAGGTTGCCAGTAGAGATGAGGCTGGGCATGGCACGAACCCAGTTTGTTTACTTTCAAGACATGCCAGCCGTCAAAGTTGCCAGTAGAGATGAGGCTGGGCTTGGCATGAACCCAGTTTGTTTACTTTTAAGGCATTCCAACTGTCAAGGTTGCCAGTAGAGATGAGCCTGGGCTTGGCGTGAACCCAGTTTGTTTACTTTCAAGACATGCCAGCCGTCAAAGTTGCCAGTAGAGATGATGCTGGGTTTGGCGCAAACCCAGTTTGTTTACTTTCAAGGCATGCCAACCGTCAAGGTTGCCAGTAGAGATGAGGCTGGGTTTGGCGCAAACCCAGTTTGTTTACTTTCAAGGCATGCCAACCATCACGGTTGCCAGTAGAGATGAGCCTGGGCTTGGCGCGTACACAGTTTGTTTGCTTTTGCAAAAAAAAACGCTCAAAACTTTGGCCACCACCCCTCCCCAATTGGTGGGGGCGTTCCCAGTCCTTTTGTGAGATATAGCTGCAGAACGAGGAATGCACTTCCCTGCAACTAATTGGGCCTGGAAGAGGTGGTGGCGGTCAGAGTTGTGAGCGGGCTTAGGTGAACTCAAGTGAACTGGGGTTGCACCAAGTCCAGTCTCATCTCTAAGCTGTGCTTATTTTAGCTCTCAACTGAACTTTCAAGCCCTCAAATGGCTGATGATGTCATAGATGATCACATGTGTAGCACCATGGCAACTGCAATCCAAATAGAGGCTAAGATTGCACCTTCCTTGCCTGTAAAAGATAAAGGGCGATAGTTCCACGCCCAATCAGTTGAGCCCCATCCTGGAGCCCCCAGCCACATGTCACGGCAGTAAATGCCTTTGTCACAACTCCAGGAACTGATTGGGCCAGGAGCGGGTGTCAGTCACAGTTTTGGACAGACTCAGGCGAACTGAGTTCACACTCCAGCTCATCATAAGATAACCCTAAAGGGCTCTAAAGGCCATCTGAATTTTAGTTTAATTCAGGTAAATACATTCCAGATGCATCAAAACATAATGGGGATAAGCAGTTGCAAAACTTTTTGACAATGTGTTCCCTTTAAAAAGTCCTGCACCTAATTCATTACAGTCTTGTTAAGAGTTCCGACATATGCAACAGATTCAGGTAGTTCTTATTTGGGCCACTTTCACAATGTGTCACTATGGCTATGGCTGTGTCACTATTCAATAAGTATTACCACCATTTCAGAGATAACTAAACTAGAGGTAATTAAGTTCCGCTCTAAGCTGGCGTACAAAGACAGGCACGCCAACATGCCATGCTCTTTACTACACAGTGGAGCTCAGAGCTAGTTGCATGCAAGGACACGGGTGGTCGCGGCATTCTAGCAAACCATGGCCTCAGTCACCTTTTGCTTTCCTTCATTTGTTGCCTGGGGGAATCTCGCAGCCAGTAAGTGAACGGGGCTGGGGATGCATCATTGGTTGCAGAGACAAAAGTGGGATGTTGGCCCAGGTAAACGCAAATAATTGTAAATATTGTACTGTTTAAAGCAGAAATAAACCGCTATTTGAAAAGGTGGGGGGTTTGCTGTAATGTGCAAGCATGCACAGCATAATTGCACATTAGGGCACACTTAACTTATACGTATGCCCTTCTCCAGCCGCATCGAATCGATCTTCGGTTCCCTACACTATATACACGCTGTAATGTGCAAGCATGCACAGCATAATTGCACATTAGGGCACACTTAACTTATACGTATGCCCTTCTCCAGCCGCATCGAATCGATCTTCGGTTCCCTACACTATCCCCCCATGCCGCCATCTGTGATACTTCTGGGTTTAGTCGGAATGCTTTTTGGCAACTGGGTGTCCACGGATCATGATACATCCTCCCTGGCATCAGGCCCATTCAAAGCATCTTAGAGAACAAGGATGGGCCGAGTGTGTACACTGCACGGTACAAAGATTATTTCCTGTAATCAGTTCTGCTTGTGACTCAAACTGTACCCTGCTGCCATCCAGTGCACTATCTAGGGAATTGCATTTGGCAGCTGTTGTTACTGCTCTCTCTTCTTTTACTGTTGAGCATAGTTCGGTGCTTATGGCTTACCCTTCTATCCTGTTGGCATTGTCAATTTACTCTGTGTCCATGTCCTAAACTTTAAGTTAAGGCCACCCTCTGTCTGATCCTTGACTGATTCCTCCTCAACATCCCAAGTCTTTCTCTGCAGCATGCTGGGACAGGCTGTTCTAATCTGCAGTAAGGGAACTGTAAAGCTTTGAATGTTTCTTTTGGTGCACCTAGTACCTATTTAGCTGATTAGATTGAAAAGTGTATTATATATACATCTATCTAGAGGCAGAGCCAGCTGTACCTGCCCCCTCCCCCGTCCGTTCCGCCAGTCAGCACTGGCGGTTCGGAGCGTGGAATCCAGTCCCTCCCCCTCAGCGCGCCGATCAGCGCTGTAAAACGCCCAGGTGTGAACCCGGCCTTAATGGCTCTAAAATTATTGCTCTCACTCCGTTTGCGGCGATAAGCAACATGTGCGGCAAGTAGGCGCACCTGACAAGTATATGCGTGTGTATTAGGGGGGCGCGGACTTAAAAAAAATGTTTAAAAAAATAAATGTTAGGCTTCTTTATTTTTATATGAATCTTTCATTTTTCTTCGATTCAACTAGGGGTGCACTGATACCAATACTAGTATCACTGCCGATACCAAGTATTTGGGTGAGTGATCGTACCTGCCCAAATGCTGCGATACCGGAACTTCTAGTCAGAGGGAGATCTCCCTCTGACCAGCAGTGCCGAAGGAGCATGGAGCCGGCTTCCTTTCCAATCAGGAAATGTCCCGCCTCCTATCTTCCTGATTGGCTAAGAAGCCGGGTTCACTTGTTGCTAGGCAGTGTGGGCATTGTGGATTTGGGGTTTTCATGAGCTGTAAGCCATTATCATCACAATTATGACAAATCACGGCTTGAACTATCTTGCTTTGCATGTAATGAGTCTATCTCATATATTAGTTTCACCTTTTAAGTTGCATTAGTGAAATAAATGAACTTTTGCACAATATTCTAATTATTAGAGTTTCACCTGTATGCTCATTCAAAAGTCCAAATCTACCAAGGTTTTACAATCAAGCTCACTGGCTCCTGTAAGGTGGCTCCAACCGGTCTCCTTTAGTGGGGGGACCTTGGAGAAGCTTAGAGTGTAAACATATTTTGAATGGGCTTCAGAACAAACAGGTGAAAGTATTTAAAGAGTCTTTAATTATTTAGCATCAAACACATTTCAGGGGCAAGAACGCTCTCCCTTCATCAGGATGTTAAACAATAATGTGGGGACTTAAAAAACTGAGCCAAAGGAATCTCTTAACTGGTGTGGTATGAATTATCCTTTTGGACTATAATTATATGTAGCGTTCTGTAACATTATTGTTTCAAGCCCTAAAGGGGAGTGTTGTTGCCTCCGAAACACATAGGCTGTTTTCCCTTAATTACTTAATGAAAGGCTCTGAACTTTTTCACCCGTTTGGTCTGGCAGGCCATTAAAAATATGTTTACACCTAGTTCTGTTTATCCTCTAAGGCCAAACGGAGGCAAACCAGTAGAGTGCACAACATTCACTATTTAACACTTCCTGTTATCACTCACCCCAGCCAATGACAATGTACCACCAAAAATATCTTCTCTGAGAGGTAAAGGTGAGGGTGAGTAGAGTGTGCAGATACATCCCCTCCACCAGCAGCCAGGAGAAATTAGCTAAGATGGAGTATTGGAAAAATGCCATGGCCACCTTACAGCTCACCTGGAATACAAAAAGGACACAGCCTAACTCATCTCAACACAGACTTGGCACAGCTTAACACGTGAGTACAAAAAGAACAACATTTATATCTAACCTGTGCTTTGGTCATGCAGGGAAAAGCAACAAATTTACATTAACAATATCCCCACTATGAGCACTCACTTCCCATTCTCAACCCTGCCATACCAGGGAGCGAAGAACAATAACGTAAGTACTTCCATATATAAAAAAGTGAATAACGTCCCTTCCTCCCACATGACCGCGCTGATGCTTGAAGACTAGGGTCGAGTCAAATTGAGAGTTTTCCCTTTCCCAATATTTTAGCAAATGTGATTTCACGAGATTTCAGCAAAATGTTACAATTTTGGTGAAATGTATTTAAATCAGTAAGGTAGGCGATATAAAGGGTGTTTTTGGTGGTTTTTGGAGCCAGCATTTTTATATTCAAGCAAATTTCTTCTAAGAAGCTCCATGAGTGAAATGGAGAGCTTCATAGTTACCTAGTTACATAGTATTTGGGGTTGAATAAAGACATACGTCCATCAAGTCCAACCCATATAGGTCCACGCATCATCTCATTCTTAGGGATACTGGTATCCCTGGATATTACGGTCCCTCAAGAAATTGTCCAAACGTTTCTTGAACAAATCTACACTCGTGGCTGAAATCACTGCCGATGGCAGTGAGTTCCAGACCTTAACCGCTCTTACTGTAAAGAACCCTCTTCGCCCATTGTGCTGGAATTTTTTCTCCACCAACTTTAGGTGGTGGCCTCTAGTCTTTGTAATGGAGTTAATCTCAAACAGTTTGTTGCCAATGTTGCTGTCACCATTGAACATCTTGTACATGAAAATGATATCCCCCCTTAATCTCCTTAATTCCAGGGTAAACATGTTTAAGTTCAGAAGCCTTGTCTCATAGCTCTGGTCCTCCATTCCCCTAATTAGTTTTGTTGCCCTCCGCTGGACTCTCTCCAGTTCAAGGACATCCCTTCTCAGTACCGGCGACCAAAACTGGACCGCGTACTCCAGATGTGGCCGAACCAACGATCTATATAGAGGCACAATTATAGACTTGTCCCTGCAATACATCCCCTTCTTAATACAGGACAAGACCCTGCTAGCTTTGTTTACCGCAGCTTGGCACTGCAAGCTACCATTCAGTTTGTGGTCTACAATGACCCCAAAATCTTTTTCTATTTCTGACTTCCCTAGCAGCATACCCATGATTGTATAGCCTATTTGTTTATTTTTATGTCCAAAGGGCATTACTTTGCATTTATCGACATTAAACCTCATCTGCCATAGTATTGCCCACTCCCCTATTTTATCCAGGTCCTCCTGTCATGTTATATTGTCACGATCCGTTTCTAGTACCCTCCCTATTTTTTTATCGTCTGCAAACATGGAAGCATGGCTATTTATTCCCTCCCCGATGTCATTAATGAATAGGTTGAACAATATGGGACCCAGCACAGAACTCTGAGGCACACCGCTCATTACACTAGCCCAGTCCGAAAAGGTGCCATTTACAGATACCCTCTGGACACGTTCCCGTAGCCAGTTCTCTATCCACGTACGCACCACCTCATCTATGCCCATAGCCCTCAGATTGTGAAGTAAGCGCTTGTGTGGTACCGTTTCAGCAAAATTTTGATAAGCTAAAATCAGTTATTTCACACCAAAACCAATTTTATCAAAATCACCTTGCTCATCCTTATTGGTGATTGACCACTCTGGCATCCATGCTGTCTCATGGCAATGTGGACAGGATCGTCAGCCTTGCAGAGCCTTGAAGTTATGACTTACAGTTTACAAATGACTTCCTCTCCTTACTCTTGGAGCAAAGGAGAGGTAAGTAGAGGTAAGTAGAAAGCACAGGTTCACCTAAACGCTGCCTCCGGTCAAATCACCATCCACCGGCCGCAGTCAGCCAAAATTCACGCGTTTCAGGGGCAAGCCCCTTTACCAGAATCAAAATTAAAATCCCTTGTTTTATTTATGTTAATAAACGATTTTACACGCGGAGGTGGCGCTCTGTTCCTTTTTGTTTTTTCACCTAAACGCATCCTAATACAAACAAAGGACAGAGTAGTTTAAAGTGTGAGACACTCTCTGCCTACTGCTTGTAACACTCGGAGTGGCTGCCATTACTCCTGTCAATCAGCAGGAGAACTACCCCTGACAGCTGGAGTTCCAATAAATATATTGAGTAGCCGGCAATTCCAGCTAAAAGCCGGCAAATTCCCAGCTATGCTGTTCAGAGACAAACACACTAAAAAGCTTTTACCGTAGACATGGTGCAATGATCAACATCCTCATCAGCGAAGAGAATGGCATCCTTGACAAATACTGCTGCACCACGTATAATAAAGGACACAAATAGGTTCATATGTATGAAATTTCTTGGACAGTGCAGTTTCCTGTGGAAATGTGATACAAAACGGTTTAGAGAATATAATCCTGAAACTCCACTTATATTAAAAACAGACACAGCTTCAAACACTTCACAAAATGAACAGTTTATACACTGAGGAATAAAGCACAATTTCTATTTTGTGAGGTCATCTTACAACTTGAATTCCATGAACCTCAATGTCAGGTTTGCCAACGCGTCACCCGTCCCCCATCCATATTACTGACAAAACACAGAACAATTAATGACAGAGCACGTTTTTTTTTCACTGACAACTAGAAACTCGTTACAAACACAGGTTCAGGTGTCTGTCCAAACATCAAACATTTGTTACATTCGATTTGAGTCGAACATCCTATATAAATAGTGTTTCTAGGAAGCGGTTATATATAACAGCGATAGAAATACCACTGACATCAACTGAATCCTTAGCCACATAAGCAAAGGGGCACAGCATGAGTCACTGGTTATTGCTACCAATATCACCAACAGTCGGAGAAGCCTGATGCAGAACTCCGAATGGCTAGTTCCTCATCAGGTTCGCCTTCCTTCATTGACAACAGGAAGTGGGTGGATTCTATAGACAATAGTCTGCTATTGGCTATGGAATCTACCTACTGCCTTCTATCAGTCAGTAGCAGAGTGGACCTGATGGGGAACTAGTCCATCGACAGCAAAGTGTAACCTATGGTGGTGCAATATGGTGGCTGATGATAAGGGTGATAGCACCCCCCTGGTAACACTGCTGACAAAATGGACATATGGCTAAAATAATTGTTTGCCATTGCCATTTTAACGCCCCTGAGGTACCATAAAACACTGTGTGGATAGTGGGTGTGGAAGTTGTTCTTGCAATCACCAATTTTTGGCTCGCTCCATTGATAGGTTCATGTGACATTGGTCAGAGGATATCTAGAAAAGTGGTTGGGGCGGAGGGTGCACAGGTAGAGTCCATCAATGTGCAGCTCTGCCCGAAAAGTGGTTTGTTCCAATAGAGATCACATTATTAGTCCTCAGACTTGAAAGTAGAACTCTAGCCAAAACATATATCTGTAAAAAAATAAATCAAGGCAACTGGACTTGCTGTATTTTTCTTGAAGACGTTTCACTGGTCATCCAACCAGATGAATCGAGAAAGCGGGTAGGATGACCAGTGAAACGTCCAAGAAAAATACAGCAAGTCCAGTTGCCTTGATTTATTTTTTTTACAGATATACCATGACCTGGGTGAATGAAAACCTTCACAGACACCTAGCCAAAATGTTTATTCCATTCTTGGACAGAGTGGGGAATGGTTAGAACCTCTGTCAGGGTTCTATTCCCATCTGTCTTCCCATTCGGGAGATCTACCCTCATGTATCTGATAGCCATTGTCACCAGGAGAGAAAGTGAAGGGAATGCAAAATGTTATGGCTGTCAACAGAAAATGAATAGATCTTTCAATGGGACCCCTTATCTTGTGACAAATGTGACCGAAAGAGCAGGGAAAGCTCAGCGATAGGGAAATAGGCAGCAGTGGAAAAAAAGCTAAGAGAGCATCTGACCCTTCCCAATCTTCTGACCTTGCATTTTGTATGCATCCCTTGCCCCCATTACTGTCTTTTTCCTATTGACCCTGCC